GAGACATAATTGATATACAAAAAGTTGCACATATTTAATGGATAAATCTGATGGGTCTGGACATAAGTAATCACCTATGAAACCATCACCAGAACTGAGGTAATAGACATATCTACCAACCCTAAACATTTTTTGTGTCCAAAGAAGACATACAGGTGGCCAAAAGGCACATGAAAAGATGCTCAACATCACTCATCATCAGGGAAATGCAAATCAAAACTACAATGAGATATCACTTCACACCTATCAGAATGGCTAAAATCAAATACACAAGAAACAACAGGTATTGGCAAGGTTAAGGAGGAGAAGGAACCCTTGCACACTGTTGGTGGGAATGCAAAGTGGTGCAGACACTGTGAAAAACAGGATGGAGTTCCTAAAAATTTTTTAAAAATATTTTATTTATTTATTCATGAGAGAGACACCCTCATAAAGGCAGAGACACAGGCAGAGGGAGAAACAGGAGCCCTGCAAGGACCCTGATGTGGGACTCAATCCTTGACCTTGGGATCATGCTCTGAGCTGAAGGCAGATGCCCAATCACTGAACCACCCAGGCATCCTTCAAAAATTTTAAAATAGAACTACTCTATGACTCAGTTATCACAGTTACTAGGTTTCCTCCCCCAAAATATGAAAACACCGATCAAAAGGAATACATGCACCTGTATGTTTATTTGTAGCATTATTTACAATAGCCAAACTATGGAAGCAGCATAAGTGTACATTGATAGATGAATGAATAAAGGAGATATGGTATACACACACAATGGAATAATACCCATAAGAAAGAATAAAATCTTGCCATTTGCAACATGGATGGAGCTAGAGAGGATTATGCTAAGCAAAATAAGTCAGAGAAATTGAAATACCATATGAGATCTCACTCATATGTGGAATTTAAGAAACAAAACAAAAGGGGAAAAGAGAGAGAGAGAAACCAAGAAACATGTTCTTAGAGAACAAACTGATGGTTACCAGAGGAGGGGGGGAGGGGATGGGTGACAAAGATGATAGGGATTATAGAGTGCACTTATCATGATGAAAAAAAATTGATTAAAAAAAGATTAAGGACACACACACAGGAAAAAGGGAAACGATCTTGAAACTTGAGAGTTAAGAAAACTCAGGTTTGAATCCAGATTCTTCTTAGCAGCTCTGGTTGAGTTTCTTTACATATAAAACCATGAAAACAGGTGGTATCTGGGTGGCATGGTTGGTTAATCAATGGACTCTTGGTTTGGGCTCAGGCTGAGATCTCAGGGTTGTGAGATGGGCTCCCCCTTCTGGGTTCCACACTCCACACTCCTGGCTTCAGACTCCAGGCTCTACGCTCAACGAGGGGTCTGCTTAAGATTTTCCTCTCTCTCTCTGCCCCGCTGTCCTGTCCTCAGGCTCTTTCTCTCTCTCAAATAAAAAAATAAAAATTTAAAAAACCTTGTGAAGACAGGTCAGAGTGAAGGTTAGAAACAGTGCGTGTAAAGCTCCTAAATGGTGACTGGAGGTTAAAAAGTGCTCAATAACTATTAAGTATTGTTATTAATGTTATATCTATTTTCCTCTTAAAACTCAATGAAATAATCCATGCAATTAGTTGAAATGCTTAAGATAGTTTTGTATCCTCTACAAATAGTCCATAAATAAGGCCACATGGTTTTAAGTATGCAAACATAGAGTGTCACATTAAGCTTTCTATTTATTCATTTATAAGGGTGTCTATACCTAGTTAAGTGGATTTTTATGAAAAAGCCAAAAATGTCTTATCTCAGTTTGAGTTTGCCTGAGGGTCCCCTCAGTTATTCGGGGGTTTAATAGAGAATACACGTAAGGGCTAACATGTCTTTTGGAGGCGACAAAGCCTTGCCTTTTTGTACAAGCTGTCCTTGACTTCATCTTCTGTACCTAGAATAGTCCTGGTGCATGGCCCATCCTATCTATGACCTGCAACTTCAGAAGTTGAGGGTCTGATTTTGTCTCCTGAAAGCCCCCATAGCCCTCTGTCCCGGGCTATGCTGCTGAGTACCCTTTGGTCTGCCTTGTGTGGTCCTCTGGCTGGCTGGGCACGAGATGTCTCCCTACCACACTGTGCACCCTTGGAGAGCACAGAGGCCTTACTCTCTGATGTTGTGTGCCATCCGGTTGGTGCTTGCATCTGACATGAGTTCAAAAGTATTTACTAACTGAATGATGTTCAGCAGAATCCGCATGTAGGGGCAATACAAAAAGTACACTTGAAGCAACACATCAAAAAAAATCATTTAATATTTGTAACCGAGAAGCAGGTATGTTCTCTATAATTTAGTTAATGGCATACAACTTCCTTACATAACGATTGATTTCCCAATTCTTACTAAATGAAATGTCTTTATGTATTACCTGACTTTTCAGGGAGTATGTTTTTCTTTCTGATTGTGTTCTTGTTTTTGTTTTTTTAGTATCCCTGGCACATAGATGGTTTATAAAAGAAAATTAGTTGACAAAATAACTTGACACTGAAGTTTCTAAGTTTATAAAAAAGTTGCCTATGTAATTAGGCTCATTTTGTCAGTGATGTATACAATGCCCTTAGAAATTTAGTAGTGACACAATTTTATATAACCCTCTGGACAGGTCTTTTTCTTGCCCTCTTCTTTGTTGAACACTAGTCCCCAAATTCTCAGATTCTTCTGCATCCATGTGGATGTTTCTTGGATTTCATCCCCACATCCATGCAAGGGTAGGAGGATGGGAAAGGAGACTTGGACTTCTCTCTCATCCCTTAATCAAATCTTTTATATCATTTCTAGTCCACCTGGGGAAAAGTGGCTTGAAATAGTGTGCAGTTAGGAAAGCTGAGAAGGAGAATGAGACAGAGTCTGTGGGAAAAAGAGCAACAGCTCCTTGTTAAGAAACAGGTTGGGAGGTTGGATGGTAATGACTGGATGAGGGAGGAAGGGAGCTTCTGTTGATGGAACCCTATTCTGTGCTGGGGCCATCACACACATTACCTCAGTGAGTTCCACACATGCATTTCAAGCACCAGTAAAATTGGACCAAACATTTTGGAAGCCAGCATACATTGTCCATTTTCAACTTTGCCAAATAAGGGTCATAAAAGAACAACTGCTCTCTCCTCACAATATGTGAAGGAAGGATGTTCTAACACCAGAAAAGTCATAAGTGTATTATTTTAGAACAAAAGATAACTTTTTAACTTGAATATATTTAGTATTATGAAAAAATTATTACATTAGCTTTTTTCCCTCTAATTCTGCCCTTTTGTTATAGACTGTTACCATACAATACTTCATTTGTTTGCAAGATATCCTAAGAAATAGAGAATATCCCTTACTTTTAGCCAGGGTAAATACCTCTTCTACAGAAGGTATCTTTTTTTTTTTTTTTAACAGAAGGTATCTATGCTTTGATAGATCACATGTAATGACAGCAAAATTTAAACAATATAACTCAGATGTAAGAGAAATGTTAATTGTCCTGTTTTCTAGAACTGATTTCATCTTGTTCTCTCATCATTCCTAATGATGGAGAAAAACACTTGATCTTGCCAAATAAAAGTGTATTTTTTTGTGGCTTTTAGTTTTAAATTGCCTATTTGGGTAACTGCTCAGTTCTTTGGGATTCTCTCTGGGGTTTTTCTTATACCTTTCTCCTTTTTAAGATGGCATCTGGGTACTGGGAGAAATTATATGTCCTCCTGGTCTAATGGCCTCCTGTTGAGATGACTCTCAGCTTTGGCCTCTGTCCTCAGTATGTCTGCATTGGTGTGTAGATATACTGAGGACTCCTGGCCACTGAGTTCCTACACTGCTGACACAGAGCAACTTTTGCTCCATCCTTTGGATATCGTGCTGGCTCCTGTTTGTGAGGACTTTGTTTTTGCATCTCGTCACAAGGCCTCAGGGCTTGGGTCTCCTTGCTCCAGCTCCAGGCTTTGTTGGGGTCATTGGTTCCGTTAGTCCTTCCATATCCCTAACCCTCTTGGGAGACCTGGGAGTGCTCTCCTGCTTTTCCATAGTCAAAACAGTTGTGTAGGATCCTGTGAGGCTGCCTTCAGTTCCGTTGCTCCAACTTTGCATGTGTACCACATTGTAAGCCTTGCCAAATGCAAGACTCTTCTGAGAGATTTATAGTCTCTCTAGACCACGACTTTCAATTTTTTAAAAAATTAATTATGAGCACGGGAGAGGCAGAGGGAGAAGCAGGCTCCCCGCTGAGCTGGGAGCTAGATGTGAGGTTTGATCCCAGGATCCTGAGATCATGACTTAAGCTGAAGGCAGACGCCCAATCATCTGAGCCATCCGGGTGTCCCTGGGGTTTATTTTATGACCAGTCCTGTAAACTTTGGTTCTTATTATGTAAAATCAGTTAAGAAAAGCCCTTTATTTTTTAAAAAAAGATTTTATTTATCCATTCATGAGAGACACACAGAGAGCAGCAGAGACACAGGCAGAGGGAGAAGCAGGCTTCCTGCAGGAAGGCCCTTGCCAGACTTGATCCCAGGACCCCGGGATCACAATCTGAGAAGAAGGCAGTCCACCACTGAGCCACGGAGGTGCCCAAGAAAAGCCTTGTAATTATGATAAGCCTGGTTTTCAAGAATATTGTCTCTTTATCTCACCATGACTTTAAAAAACAGTTAAAAAAAAAAACCAAACACGGGATCCCTGGGTGGCGCAGCGGTTTGGCGCCTGCCTTTGGCCTGGGGCGCGATCCTGGAGACCCGGGATCGAGTCCCACGTCGGGCTCCTGGTGCATGTAGCCTGCTTCTCCCTCTGCCTGTGTCTCTGCCTCTCTGTGTGACTATCATGAATAAATAAATAAAATCTTTAAAAAAAAAAAAACCAAACACATATTTTTCATCTTATGGCCTTTGTGGGTCAGGAATTTGGAGGCATGTTAGCTGGGTGGTTCTGGCTCAGGTCTCTTATGAGGTTGCAGACAAGATGTCATCTGAAAGCTTGACCAGGGCTGAAGAATTTGATTCTAAGATTGCTTACTCACCTGCTGTTGGTAGAAGAACTCAATTCACCAGGTGAACTTCTTCATAGGGCTGATTAAAGATCTTCATTATATGACAGCTGGCTTCCCCTATAGGGAGTGATCCAAAAGTGAGCAAGAAGGAAGCTGTGCTGCCTTTTATGATTTAGTCTCAGAAGTTACATGCATCATCACTTCTGTCTTATTCTATCCATTTGAAGCAAACACTAAGTTCAACCAAAATGTAAAAAGAGGGGAATTAGTTCACTTTTTAGAGGTAGAAGATAAAAGAATTTATGTACATGTTTCACATGTACCTTCACAGTAACTTCTATATCTTTTCCGATAATTATTAAGTACATGCAATGTGCTACCTGAATGATATAAATAGTGAGTTTTATGGGAGAACCCAGACTGAATGAATAATCACTGTCTCCTTGTGCAATCAGAGAACGTTCACAGAGAAAATGAGTCTTGAGTTGAGTGGTGAAGAATAAAGTAAGAAAACCAGAGAGAATCAGGCAGGGATTGCAGTCAGTATAAACAGAATGAGTAAAGTTGTGTAGGAGGGTTCGAGAGCCCTCAGATTACTCTATATTACTCACTCTGGTTTCCTGTCTATCACAGTGGACTCTTAATCACAGTCCATGCTCCTGATCTCCAACACTCTCTTCAACAAAACTTGACTGGCCTGCATCTCGTGACTTCTGGGTCTGCTTTCTGAAGAGCAAGAGGCAGTTATGTAGGTGGATCTGGGCTTAAATATTAATGTATTCACTCTGCCCACATAGCAGAAACACACTTTACAAAATTTTTAAAGTTCAATTTAACAGTTTTTGAAATAAAGATACAGTTGTGAAACCATCACTGCAATCAAGCTAATGAATATATCCATGGTCCTCAATATTTTCCTGTAAGCCTTTTTATCCCACCTCCCATCCCTTACCTGCATTCTCAAGCAACCACAGATCTGCTTTCTGTTACTACAGATTAGTTTGCATTTTCTCGGATTTTAAATAATTGGAATCATACAATTTTTACTCTTCCTTTTTTTTTTTTAGTTTGATTCCTTTCACTTAGTATATTGAAATTTTCCGTGTTGTTGAGGGTATCAATTGTTCATTCATTCCCTTTTATTGATGAGTAGCATTCCATTGTAAGGATATACCACAATCGGTTTACCCATTCACCTGTTGATGGTCATTTGGGTTGTTTCCAGTGTTTGCCTATTACAATAAGACTGCTATAAGACTATATGCATACAAGCTTTCTTTTTTTTTCAGGTTTAAAAACTTTATTTGCATATTCAAAAAATTTTGCATTCCAATAATTAAAATCACTTGAACCAAAAAATGGCACTCTGATTAAACTGCATTTTAACAGCCTGCAGGACACCTTGGGCCAGCTTGGTTTTTACTCTAGATCTCACTGTCCTCCTACCCAGCTTCTTCCTTCACCAACATGCAAGTTATTTTCCTTCCCTGCCAGTCCGACAGGCAGATGGGAAAGGGAGGAGCCTTCGTTGTCAGTAGTTCTCAGTTCTTTGATGTAAAAAGGGGCAGCACAGCCATTTAAACTTCCAATCCCTTTGCATCTTACAAAGTTAAACAGCTAAAAAGTAAAATAAGAAGGCAGTGCTTAATGTTGGCAAATTGAACTCCAATTAAAAAAAAAGAGAAGACAGTGCTTGTAGAATGTACAGTGCATATTGGCAGCGCACGCCTCATTACCATTCACCTGCTTGCTTCTCCTGTTCAATTGTTTCTTTTGAAGGCAGTGAATTTTTCTCTTGCGTTTCTGTCTTCTTCAATTTCGATTTATGGAATTTCTCAATCCCAGCCATATCGGGTTTGTCAGACATTGTTGCAGAGGAAGCAGAGTGAGGCGCACGAGTGAGCTGGAGAGAGGAGTGATGCGGCCTGCGCAGTGGTTGCTGCTGAATGGGACCCATGCTTTTATATGAAATAGTTGGATCATATGGCGGGTGAGGGGTTAACAACTTAAGAAACTGATAAACTGTTTTCCAAAGTGATTATATAATTTTGGATCATTACCACAGTGTATGAGAGTTCCAGTTCCTCCACATCCTCATCAACACTTGATATGGTCAGTCTTTTATTTTTTTTAATTAAAAAATATTTTATTTATTCATGAGAGACAGAGAGAGAGAGAGAGAGAGGGAGAGGGAGAGAGGCAGAGACACAGGCAGAGGGAGAAGCAGGCTCCATGCAGGGAGCCCAATGTGGGACTCGATCCTGGGTCCCCAGGATCACACCCCCGGTTGACAGCAGCACTAAAACACTAAGCCACCGAGGCTGCCCTGGTCAGTCTTTTTAAATTATAACCATTCTGGTGAGTGTGTAGTGGCATTTTATTGTGGTTTTTATTTGCATTTCCCTAATGACTAATATTGCTGAGTTTTTTTTTAAATGTGCATGTTTGCAATCCATTTATCTTACTTGAAGTGTCTGTTTTTGCTCGTTTTGCTCATTTAAAATGTGCTATTTCTTATTATTAAATTTTGAGGGTTATATATTGAGGGATATATATATCTTTACAAATATATATTAAGTATATATATATTTAATATATATATTTACAAACATTTGTAAATATATATATATATATATATATATATATATATATATGATTTGTAAATATTTTCTGGCCACCTGGAGCTATATTTTTATTCCCTTAAGAGTATCTTGTGAAGAACAGAGTTCTTAGTTTTGATAAAAATGTAATTGATCAGTTTTCTTTTTATGTAGCACACATTTTGTGTCATATCTAAGAAATTTTGCCTACTTTAAGGTCATAAAGGTTTTCTTCTATGTTTTCTTTTAAACATTCAGAAGTCATAACCTTTGCACCTTGACTGAAAATTAATCTAATATATATATGTACATTTATTTTGAGACTCTCTATTTTGTTCTATTAATTGATTTGCCTCTTGTGGCCAATATCACACTTTCCTGGCTATTGTAGCTTGTAATAAGTCTTCAACTCAGGTAGTGAAACTCTTCTAGCTTTGCTCTTTTTCATATTTTTTGTGCCTAATTGTCAGGTGTTGGGATGGTCAATTAGGATAACAAACAAAATTGAAAGTAACAATCAAATATTTATTCATTTACTGTAATACTGTAGGTAAGAGGCCAAAATGGAAAATGCTGGCTCCTGTTCCATTTTTACCCCCATGGAATAACATTGGGTACAAGGGTCAGTGAGATGACATGCAGGACAAGTGGGGGAAATTGTCTCTCTGCTGAAGAGCACTGAACAAAAGTTTCCTTTTATATGGAGGGTGGGTAGGGTGTGGAGAGGAAGAAATCTCTCAAAAAGCCTTTCAAATGGAGATGGCTGAGCTAGAAATGCAGATATGATTATGACTATGGCTTTTGTAGGGTGAGGCCTAAGTCTGATTGCAATTCCCTCCATGAGACTGCAGTTCATTAATTGCCTGTGCTATACTCCTAATAGCACCAAGTGTGAGGAGGGCAGCTTTCCCTTATGAGACCCTTTGGGAAAAGCTTTTGTAATTGCTTATGATTGGGCCTAAAAGATGACATGTAGGATTTTGGCCTGGAGGTGGACTCCTCAGTTTTTGGCTACTCTAGGTCCTTTGCATTTGCACTTGAGTTTTATAATCAGCTTGGCAATTGCTAGAAAAATATCTGTGAGATTTTCATCAGGGTTTCATCAAAACTATGCATCAATTTTGGGAGAAATGCATTTTAACAATATTTAGATGCTGAGCCTTCTGATCCATGAATATGGTATATCTCTGCATTTATTTAGATCTTTTAAGATTTCTCTTAGCATTGTTTTGTGGGTTTTGATGTACAGGTCTAACACATCTTTAGTTAGGTTTATCTCTAAATACTTAATATTTTTTTGGATGGTATTTTATTTTTTTAAAATTTTATTTATTCATGAGAGGCACACACACACACACACACACACACAGAGAATGAGAGAGAGAGAGAGGCAGAGGGAGAAGCAGGCTCCATGCAGGGAGCCTGATGTGGGACTCGATCCCGGGTCTTCAGGATCACGCCCTGGGCTGAAGGCAGCGCCAAACCACTGAGCCACCCGGGCTGCCCTTGGATGCTATTTTAAATGATGTTTTTAAAACTCCAATTTCCATTTTTTGCTCTCATATATAGTAGCACAATAAATGTTTGTATATAGGTCTAGTATCCTAAAGTGTTGCTAAACCAACATATTAATTCCAGCAATTTTTCTGTAGATTTCATAATATTAACCTAAACTATATGGCATTTGTTTAACAGCAGGCAGCAGACAAGGACACAGATAGTACAGGCTGAAAAGCTGGTGATCCTTCTTAGGATGGCATAAAACATTTGAGAAAATTGCTAACTCAATACCTTGGAAGGCCAAACACATGCTCTTTAAATTTGTAACTATAGGGAAAATGGTCAGAAGGATGATTCTCTGACCAATGAGAGAGTATTGCTGTTGCCTGCCTCCTTCAGCAAAGTCTTTTGCTGAAGATGAACTCAGGTAGAAGCTAGCCATTTTAAGAGATGAAGGGAAATAAAGCTCAGCTAAGATTGGAGTTCTCTGCCTGCAGTCTGCAATACAAACTGATTGAGGGTGGTTATTTAGGGCCTTCTAATTTTGATAAGCCAAAAGTCATTATACTCCCAATAGCAGAAGATAAAACTGCAACCCAAAGCCCTTCTCAAAGGCCATTAGCAAAGTGTAGTCTGCCAGATGATGGAAGCCAAGTATGGAAGGCAAGCAGTGAAGATCATATTAAGGGGAATGCCTTTCCAACCAAACCTGCTGTTTTTGCTGGCTGCAAGGGCACTGTAATTAAGTTAATAGATACAGGATAGATGGGACAAACAGAGCCTAGTACATCAAAATGAAGAGTAATTAGGCATAAGAAATATGACTAGTTGAGGTCTTTAGCTGTGGTTATTTGTACAAGGAATTGTAAAAGAACGAATAAACCAGAAATATTTCCAGTTTCTTTCCAAGTGGAATTGACAAAAAACTACAAGTCTAGCTTGCTGATACCTCTATGCATTTGATCCTGAAGTAATGCATAGTTCCAGTAAGAAACTGGGAACAAAAAGATGTGCAGCCTTCCAGGAAGGCATGCTTGTTAACATACTCTTCAGATACAATTATGGAGGATCATGGAGAAGAACCTTCCAGAGGGTAAAGCCAGTAACTTCAAATGCAGCAAGCAGATGAATTCCTTCTGGAAAGCAGAAATGGGGTCTAACCAAGAATTTACTTCACCACTTGGGTAATCTGTAAAGTTTCTCTTTTGCAACATTTTGCTAGGCTTTGGACCAGTGACTACTTTCCCCCCATTCTTTTTCCAAATAATTTTTCAAATTTCTACCTCACCAGGTATGTGGGAGAGGAGAGCACATACCTCATCTTTTCTTAGTAGGTCACTGTGTCATGAAGAACTATATCCAGACTTGTAAAGTACTGCACATCTTCAAACCATGAATGTAAGAGCCAGCTACAAATAACTACTTAGAAATTTAGTGCTTCTTCCTTTGGAATAGGGTGTGTTCTGTTAGAAGATGGGCATATATAAAAACCTCGGGGATCAGAGGAGTGGACTGTGACAGAGTTGTCCACCAATGTACATTCTCATCTCCTTTTATTACTAGAACTGTTGAGTATTAGCTGGAAACGTGGTTGTCCAGCTAGAGAACTTTATCTCCCACCTTCTAGTTAGATGCGGTTATGCCTGTAATCAGGTCAATGGAATGAATAGTGCTATACATCTCAGTAGCGCTGAGATGTATACCCCTTCCCTTTCTACCATTTTGCTGGGCTAAGATACAGATGTGATGGCAGGTTCTGGGATGGAGGTTATGTATAAGGATAGAAGCACTGACCTACCAGTCTTGAACCACTTACCTCTGGACCTACCAGTCTTGAACCACTTACCTCTGGACCAGAAAAAAACAAAACTATCTTGTTTCAGATATGCATAAATGCAGAGAACAAACTGATGGTTGTGAGAGGAGAAAGGTGGGTGATGGGCAAAATGGTTGAGGGGGAGTGGAAGGCACAGACTTCTAGGGATGGAATGAATAAGTCATAAGGATAAAAGACATAACATGGAGAATATAGTCAATGGTACTGTAATAGTATTACAGGTGACAGATGGTGGTACACTTGTGAGCATAACTAGATTTGTTAACTGGTAGGTCTGAAACTCATGTAACATTGTATGTCAACTATGCTTCAATTAAAAAAAAAGTATCTTGTTTCATATATAGTATCTTTGGGTCTCTGTTAAGGCAAGCTAATCTGTATCCCAACTAAAACCTAGGCCTAAATTTGGAATATAATATTCCAAATAGTATTCTCGTCTCTAAGCCAAGGAAGAGCCATTCTTGAACAAATGGAAAAGAAACTTTTGCTAATCTAAGTCAGGGTTTTGGCTCAATTAAGCCAATAGTGACCACTGGACACTTAATGTAAGCCAATTCAGTATGAGATATTATGGAAGGAAAGACATGGTCCTGTCAGCATTTAACTACCTACTTTTAGATTGTATGTAAAAGAGAAATGAACTTCTATTTTGTTTAAACTGCTGTATTTTGGGTCTTTTTCATATCTAAGAGGATGCTTAGACTGCCTCCTAAACAACATACATTGTTAGAATTTGTTTAAAACCACTGCACAATCACAAAAATAACAAATCAGAGCAGTGTGTGCCTACTGGGAAATATGGACAAAAAAAGACTCTCAGTGTGGAGCTCAGAAGGGATTAGGAGAGTCTCAAGAAAAGGAAGTCCTGGTGGTGAAAATGGCATCATTGAAGGCTGGAATATTTAATTTTCCCTTTCAACCAACCAACCA